TGGTTGCCGCTGGTATTGCTTCGGAATTGGTTGGGCTGTCTCACTGTCTTTCACTAGTGTCGCATCTCCCCCGTCTAAGCATTAGGGAAATGGCAATTTTCCCTTGCTGTCTGGCGAAGGGAATGGATGTGAATCGATCACAGCAATGTGTGACATTTGTGCCGAATAACAGTGACAGTTGAATTGAATTGACTTTCTCTATCCTCTTTCTATCTCTCTGTGAAACCAATGATTTTCATTTGCGCTTTTCACACTATTCATATCAGTTCAATGACCGATCGGAAGATGCGATCATCTCCCGTTTTAGCTGCTGCCTTTTTTCTGTGGGTTTGGCTGTAGTCCAAACATGCACTGAAAAAAGCGCTGCGGGTTGAGCCTTCTGACCCAACGCTGACATGGTTCATCAACAGGCGATGCTGAAGCAGCCGACAAATGAAAAGAGCGAGAGAGAGAGAGAGAGAGAGAGAGAGCAAAAATGCCGATCGTGCTTGTGACGACGACGACGACGACGATGACGACGACGACGACTGTGTGAAATGATGTTTTCAATTGATGGGCGACGATCAGCATATCGGCGAAGGCCGAAAGTGAATATCTGCTTTAGTGTGTGTGCGCCTGTCGTCACTGTCTGCCAGTTTGCTAATCGTGATGAATCAGTTTGGAGTATTTATTTCAAGGCAATGACGACTGCGAATAAGGAGATCATCAGGCACAGCAGCAGCAGCACCTCTCAAAGAGATGACGGCTTACTGGCTGACTGACTGAGTGACTCTAGTGTGTTCTGCCTAGCTAGCTCATTCATCACCGCTCAAAGTAGCCAGCGGCCATTTTCCACCATTGCCATTACCAAAAAGTGTAAGGCACATTTTGGCGCTAATTGAATTGGAACAGTGCGGATAATCGGCGCATTGAAAGTCCACTAGTGTTGCCACTCTGCACCAAAGGAGTGCGGAGGAGGAAGAAGGGGAGGATCAGCAGTGTGGCTAACACACAAAGCTTTACTGACCGGGCAATTGGATAAACTACAACGCTGTGTACTTCGTTTACTACAACTACTGTACAACAGAAGTTGTAAAAGTGTGAGTGCTCGCCTTCTCTCACCACAGCAGCAGTTGTGAGCGATGATGCGGTCACGGTAGTGACTGATTCACTACTTCTTCATCATCTCCATCTTCTTGACGCGCCGACAAATGAGATGGCTAGTGGCTAGTGTGCTAGTGCACATGGCAGCTTTCTATTTGCCAAACACACTGGCAGAAGGGAAAGTAATGAACAGTAATGAACTCAGTTGGTGTGTGTATGGTTTACTGATGTGCCGCATCGTTCGCCCACTTTACAGTGTGCGCCTTTGCTTCACTGTCTTTTTCCTTCCTTCCTTCTGTGCCACTGTCTCTGGATCACTGTGCCTGGCCGCACCACCATCATCTCGTCAGTGCTGCTACAGTCGTCGCCGAGATACGACGGCGGCAAAGACGGTCGTCGATTCTGCATCAGCAGCAGCTGTAGTAGATTCTGCTGCGGCGTCTGTTTCTTCTTTTTCTTCCTCTTCAGTCAGTCAAAGAGACTGCAATGCGGCAACTGTGGATAACAACATTCAACTGCTGCTCTATCTTCAGTAGTGCCGTAGTCAGTACAGCTTTGGTAGGCGGTTTGTTTGTCTTCATCGTCGTCGTCGTCGCCGTGGTCGCCGTCTCTTAGAGAGCTGCTGCTGCTGTGGGGGCTCAAGATTTCTCTCTTCATCAGCCAGTGCACTGCTCCATTGGACCGTCTGCAGAGAGGGCATTCTGCGTGAGTGAAGGCAGTGATGGCAGCAGACCATCTAATCTCTCCTTCTGCCCAGCAATGCTCTTAATTTGCGAATGAACAAGTGTGCACTGTGCTGCTGTTGCTGAAGCCAGGCCATTCAGCAGAGTTGCTGCCTTCAATGAAGTCATTCGATTCTGTCAACGGCCCCTCACGCTCCTGCAAACAGTGCTCTTCCTCTCACGCTCTTTTCTTCTCATAGCCGGTGGCCTGTGTCGCATAGTGTGACTGACTGTGGCAGTGGTGGTAGCCCCAGTACGGCCCCAGTCTCTGTGCTCAGTGAGTCACTGGAGTGGCCCAGTGTCACATGCACACACACGCTCACTTCTGCGCCGGCAGTTCAACGGTGCAGCACTAGTGCTCTCTTTGCTCTTCTCTGTTTTTCTTATGAATGAACTTCTGTGATTTTACCTTCCTTTCTCGTGGTCCTCATCTTGTCTTGTCTTGGTGTGGTCCTTCTGGTGAACCTGTCTGTCTGTGTGTGTGTGCTTGTGCCTCATTTGCCGATTGTGTCTGTCTGGGGTAGTTGTGTCTTCCAGTCAAACTGTTTGGTCACTCTTTGCCTCTACTCTTCTCATCTCATCTCCTTCCACTTCACCTTCACCTTTGCACCCACCATGACTCGTCACGAAACCTTTTACAGCTCTGGCCAGCGTAGCAGCGCTGGTGGTGGTGCTGGTGGTGTTTGTCGTCTCGACCTCTTTCCTTCTCAGGTGCTCTCCACTTCACTGGACGGCGACAGCAGTCCACCGCTGCCGCCGATCAGCCACAACAGATCCTCTTACTATCGTTTTGAGCAACAACAACATCAGCAGCAGATTTCTTCCTCTACGAACACTTCCTCCTCTTCAGCTCGCTCAGTGACCACGCAGAGCATGCTGATGAGCACCTTCTCGACGGAAGTGGAGATAATGCCTGATGTTGAGGAGGAAGACTACCATCAGTACGGTCGCATTCACAACTATCACCAGCAGCAGCAACAGCAGCACCATCCTTACGACTATGATCAGTCTGCTGACTACAATACCTCCTCTTCCTCGACTCATTCTTTCCTTTACCCGAATCACCACCACCATAATGGTCGACACTCTCCAACAGTCGACAAGCAGTTGAAGCTCTCGCCCTCGTGTCGCATTTCCTCTGCTCGAATAACACGCGTCAATAGCATTAGTAAAGTGGCTGCAGAATCACCGAAACAGACGAGGAGGCAGCAGCAGCAGCAGCTACAGAATAATCAGCAGCAGAATCAGCAGCAGCGAGGGTCACCTCGTCGAAGCTCCCTGCATCGGCGTGAAATGCATCGGCACTCAGCAAAGCAACAGTCATTACAGCTGCAGAAGCTGCAAACACAGCGGGAGAGTCCGTCGTCCATTCGGCGGAATGGTGGTGATGGTTTTGGTGGTGGAATTGGCCACCCTCGGCCAGCCAATGGACCACCTCTTTTCTCGCCTGCCCTCGAGCAGCAGCAGACCGAGCCACATCTGGCGCCCAGATGGTCCACTGAGGAGAGGCCGTCAAGAGGAGGACAGCAAGTGAAGGGCACTACTACTATTAATAGCCCAAGGGCCACTGATGGCGCGGACAGTAGGCGGCCAACTGCTGCAGTGACTGCCCGCGAATACTCGCCAAGAGCACTTATCGAGGACGGCGCACATGATCGGCACCACAGAGGCGGCGGCAGCAGCAGACGAACTTCCTCGAACCTTCGGCGACCACCGCCGCCATATTTGCTCAGCACAGGCAGCGTTGCCGAGGGCTTTGCTGGGCCCGGCAACGGCGGCGTTGGAGTGTCTGCTCTGTCGCCTTCTCTGCCCACCACCACCACCACCAAAGCCTGTCCCCCAGCTAATCTGATTGTCAGCTATGAGCTGACGAGCAGTTGCAGCAGCACTACCACCACCGACTCTTCTCAGTCTCTGCTCACCTCTGACCTCTCACCTGACTCGGACTCGGAGGATGAGGATGATGAGGATGACTTTGGCTCGGTCACTGCCACCTGTGGTGGTGGTCGTGGACCAACCTCCTCCTCCTCCTTTCTTGACTATGGTTTGTAACCACGACTGCCTTTGTTGTTGTTGATGTTGCATATCTCTCTTCTCATTCACTCTGCCTACTATCGATCGGAAGGGAAAGCCAGTGAGCAGCAGTAGCAGCACCACCCTCGCATATGATCAGATGTATTGAGAGATAGATCACTGAGGAGTAATTCCAGACGAAAGTTAGTGAGAGTTTAGTGCACACAGTTGCTAAGCCCGAGATTGCACTGCACTGCAGCAGCAGCTGCAGCTGCTCCTGCTGACCTTGTTGCTAATCAAACACACACACACACACTCACACTGCCAACAGTACTCACACTGCATCAGCCACTTTCCCCCAAACCGGGACAATCTTTACTAATTACAACTGCTTTTGCTTTCTTTCTTTTCCCAACTCACAGGTGACATTACTCAGAAGGGCTATGAGAAGAAGAGATCGCGACTGTTGGCTCCCTATGTGAGTCAGGCTCAGCAGCAGTCTGGTAAGTAGTAGTGCCTCTTACTCTGATCGATAATCATCAGGTGGTGGTGATGGTGGCGATGGTGGCTGTGCTGGCACGGCAACCATGATGTGTGCTTGCTTGTGTGCTTTGTATTTACCTTTTCTTTTTCCTTCCTTCCTTTCCCTGTGCCTCTTTGGTCCCCTCTGTTCACCTTCACTCACCGTCACACAGGCGCCGCTAGTCCTTCCACTCGTGCCAAAAGACGTGCGCATCGCCGGGTTACTCGCCATGAAAGTCGCTATCATTCCGGTATGTGTTGTCTGCCATCATTTCCCTCTTCCCCTCAACATCGCCGCCGTCGATTACCATCAACAGTGGCTAGCAGTGGCGGTGGTGGTGGCAGTAGCTGCAGTTGACTTATCCACTGCTGATGCTGATGCCGCCGCCGTTCTTGCTACTCTTGACTGGTGTTTCTGATGCTGCTGATGCTGATGTTGTCGTTTTCCCTTTTGTTACTTTCTCTTTCTCTGCCACCGGACTGATTGGTCTTCTATTGTGTTTTTGTTTTTCTCCCCTTTTCCCCACTTTTCCCCTCTCTTTCCCTCTCCCAATGTTTGTCACCCGTCCTCACTCGTCGACGCGTCCGTCTGCTCCAGAAATACGCCAGGAGGCTGTTCAGCAGGCGCTGGCGGCGATGCAGCACAAGACGAAACCGGCAATGCCGATGCCGTCAAAGCGAACTTCGGCGATGATGGTTGCCAATGCGGCGGCGGCCGCTGCAGTCTCGCCCAAGGCAGCTGCGGGAAAGGATTCAGTGGGTGTGAACGTTGCCAGGCGACAGCAGCAGCTGCAACAGCAGAACTCGATGCTGCTCAGCGACTCCTCTTCTGACGATGACAGCATTCTCAACGAGAGCAGCAGCACCGCATCGGACAGCAGGGGCCGTCAGGGACGTGGTGGCGGCGGTGGGGGCAACTATCCGAACTACCAGAACCACCACCATTACCAGCAGCAGTTAATGCAACAGCAGCAACAACAGCAGCATCCTCAACAGCTGATTCGACGGCACAACTTTGCCATGGAGCAGCAGTCGATGCCCAACTCGAGCGACACCTCGACGCACTCGTCGCCGGCACACGAGCGCAACAATGGCAACAACTATCACTACCGAAATGTTCAGCAGCCGCCGCAGCCGGTGATGGTGCCGTCGTCACAGCAACTGCAGCAACAGCAGCAGCCAGCACTGCCGCCACGAATCATCGGCATTCATGAGCACGGCGGTGCTGGCTCGAGAAACAGTGTCGTTAGTCAGACGCCTGACGGCAAACATGCTGGTGGTGGGCGTCGGTCGCAGATTCAGTCGCAGCCGCTTCCACTGCCTCCGTCGGCGTCCTCCTCCAAAGTGTCCACACCACTGCCACCACTGCCAACAGCAGCTCAATCATCAGCCGTCGCCGCCCCGTCAGTGAGTCAGAGTGCGCTGCTGAAGCAGTACCAGATGAACCTGCCCTCGCCTTCTGTCAACCAGCGAGTCAACGGGGCTCAGTCACACCATAGTCATCACAGTCAACTGCAGCAGCTGCAGCATTCGGGAGGTGTGGAGTACAGCAACAGTGCAGCTGGAGCTGGAGTTGCAGCAGCTTTGCTGCCTGAACTGCCGCCCGACAGGCCCGAGCGAATCAGCTCTCGACTGTCGACGGCCACCGCCTCTGCCGCCGATTCCAACAGTGCAGCTGTGAACCACCTAGCGGACATTCTTCAGGGCGCTCTGGGACCGCTCAATGTCACTGCTCCCTCTGCCCTCAGTCCGCAGCCTGATGTGCTTTCCAACAACAATAATAACAACTCGGCGGAGTTGGCCAGTCTGGGTAGGTGTTTTGGTTTTGTTGTTTTTGCTCACTTCGTNCTCTGCCCTCAGTCCGCAGCCTGATGTGCTCTCCAACAACAATAATAACTCGGCGGAATTGGCCAGTCTGGGTAGGTGTTTTGGTTTTGTTGTTTTTGCTCACTTCGTTTCATTTCTAACATTTCCCTCTTTCCTCTGTCACAGGCGACCTTGACAGCCTGGACGGCGACTCAAAGGGCGGCACCACCAACCGAAAGGTCTCCACGAAAATTCAGCAGCTGCTGAACACGCTGAAACGGCCGAAGCGACGCCCTCTGCCCGAGTTTTACATTGACGACGAGACTGATCTGGAGATTGCCGCCAACCAGGTGGACCCGACGGCACCGAAACCAGAGGGAAATACCATGCTGCCCTCCATTGGCGAGCAACTGATGGTACCCGCCGGCCTCCCCAAAAGCCTGGAGGCGGCTCTTCAGCGGTACGGCACCTCGACCTTCAAAGCGCCGGCGGCGACAGTGCTGGACACGAACGGCAAGATCTGCCCGCAGCTGACGTACGGCAAGCTGTACAACCGTTCACGGAAGATCGCCTACAGTCTGCTGAACAAGATCGGCGTGAAGGGCGAGCTGAGCATCCGCACCGGCGACCGCCTGGCGCTGGTCTTTCCCAACAGCGATCCCATTGGCTTTCTCTGCGCCTTCTACGGCTGCCTGACGGCTGGCGTCATTCCGGTGCCGATTGAGGTGCCGCTCACCCGACGTGACGCTGGCTCCCAGCAGATTGGCTTCCTCCTCGGAAGCTGCAACGTCAGCTACGCCCTCACCTCTGAGGCCTGCTTCAAGGGCCTGCCGAAGACGGCCACCGGGGAGATTCACACCTTCAAGGGCTGGCCGAAGATCAACTGGCTCATCACCGACCACCTGACGAAACCGGCGAAGGAGTGGCAGCCGCCGGCGCGCATCAGCGAGGAGTCGCCCGCGTACATTGAGTACGCCACCGACAAGGACGGAGCGGTGAAGGGCGTCAGCATCAGCCGCAACGCCATGATCTCCCACTCGCGGGCGCTCACCGGTGCCTGCAGCTACTCCGAAGGCGAGGTGATGGTTTGCGTATTGGACTTTAAACGGGAAGTCGGTCTGTGGCACGCCATTCAGGCGAGCATCCTCAACGGCATGCACGTCATCTTCATTCCCTATGCGCTCATGAAGATCAACCCCGCCCTGTGGATGCTGATGATCACCAAGTTCAAGGCATCCATTGCCATCTGCAAGTCCCGCGATCTGCACTGGGGCCTGCTGGCGAGCAAGGACCACAAGGACATTAATCTGAGTTCGCTGCGCATGTTGCTGGTGGCCGATGGCTCCAATCCGTGGTCGCTCTCCTCCTGTGATCAGTTCTTCTCCGTCTTTCACAGTCGTGGGCTGCGCGTCGAGGCAATGTGTCCCTGTGCGACGTCGCCGGAGGCGCTCACCATTTCCATTAGAAGGTAAGTGCTTGATGGTTGTGGTAAAGTTGAAACTAATATTAGTGTTTGTTTTGCCTTGTTTAGACCGGGCCGAACTGGAGCCGGCGCCACTGGTCGTGGTGTGCTCTCCATGTCCGCCCTCAGCTATGGGGTCATTCGCGTCGACTCGGAGAACAGTCTCACCTCGTTGACGCTGCAGGATTGCGGTCATGTTCTGCCTGGAAGTAAGTGCAATAGTATTCAATGGTGTTCAATAACTTTAATCACAATTCTTTTTCTTTCTTTTCTTAAACAGCAATCGCCGCTGTCGTAAAGCTAAACGGCACGCCGCACCTCTGCAAAACCGACGAGGTGGGCGAGATCTGCCTGAGCACCTCCTCCGCGGGCAGCTGCTACTGGGGCCTGCAGGGCCTGACGAACAACATCTTTCGCATGCAGCCGCTGAACGCCGACGGGCGGCCCTTCAGCGAGCAGACCTTCGTCCGGACTGGCCTGCTCGGCTTTATGGGCCCCGGGGCGCTGGTGTTTGTGTGCGGCACCCGGGACGGCGTGATGCAGGTCAGCGGGCGGAAGCACAACACTGATGATCTCATTGCGACGGTGCTCGCCGTCGAGCCGATGAAGTTTGTCTACCGAGGGCGCATTGCCATCTTCAGCATCAAGGTGCTGAGGGACGAACGGATTATTGTGGTGGCAGAACAGCGACCGGACTGCACCGAGGACGAGAGCTTCCAGTGGATGAGTCGGGTGATTCAGGCGGTGGACAGCATCCACCAGATTGGCATCTACTGTCTGGCACTGGTGCCCCCCAACTGCCTCCCCAAGACACCGCTGGGCGGCATTCACCTGAGCGAGGTGCGCCGCCGTTTCGGCGAGGGCAGCCTCCATCCGGCCAATGTGCTGATGTGTCCGCACACCTGCGTCACCAATCTGCCCAAGCCGCGGGAGGTGCACTCTGACGTGGGGCCCGCCTCGGTGATGGTCGGCAACATTGTCCAGGGCGTCCGACTGGCCATTGCCCAAGGCAGGGACATTGGCGTCGACGACATGGGCAGCGGAGCGGAGACGGCCGGCGAGGCACGCCGCCACCAGTTTATCACGGAGATTCTCAAGTGGCGGGCGGTCAACTCGCCCGACCACGTCCTCTTTTCGCTGCTGAACGCCAAGAACCTCGAGGTGGCCAGTCTCAGCTGTTCGCAGCTGTACAAGCGGGCGGAGCGGATCGCCTGTCTGCTCACCGAGCGAGGCAAGCCCAACACTGGCGACCACGTGGCGCTGATCTACTCTCCCGGCATCGACCTCATTGCCGCCTTCTACGGCTGTCTGATGGTGGGCGTCGTTCCGGTCACCATTCGCCCGCCCCACCCTGCCAACCTGCTGACGACGCTGCCCACAGTGCGGATGATCGTCAACGTCTCCAAGGCGGCCTTTATCCTCTCCACCGGCCCGGTGATCAAGTTGCTCAAGTCGAAGGAGGCGAGCGGCGTCGTGGAGATCAAGTCCTGGCCGACCACCCTGGACACGGACGACCTGCCCAAGCGGAAGCTGGCCAACGCCTACCGGGCGCCGACCGCCGAGCTGATGGCCTACCTCGACTTTAGCGTCAGCACGACGGGCATGCTGGCAGGCATCAAGGTCAGTCACGCGGGCCTCACCTCGCTCTGTCGCAGCATGAAGATTGCCTGTGAGCTGTACGCCTCCCGGAAGATTGCCCTCTGCCTCGACCCGTACTGCGGCCTCGGTTTTGTGCTGTGGTGCATCAGCAGCGTCTACAGCGGCCACCAGACCATTCTCATTCCGCCCTCTGAGGTGGAGGCCAATCCGGCGGTCTGGCTGAACGCCGTCAGTCAGTACCAGGTGCGGGACACCTTCTGCTCCTACGGAGTGATGGAGCTGTGCACCAAGGGCCTCGGCTCGTCTATTCAACAGATGAAGGTAGGTAGAAGGAGGGAGTTATTTAATTACGTTGTTTTACTTATTTTCTGCTTTTTCAGACTCGAGGCGTCAACCTGGGCTGCGTCCGCACCTGTGTGGTGGTGGCGGAGGAGCGACCGCGAGTGGCGCTCACTAGCTCTTTTGCGAAGGTCTTTCAGAGTCTGGGCTTGTCGGCGAGGGCGGTGAGCACCTCCTTTGGCTGTCGGGTGAACACGGCGCTCTGTCTGCAGGGCGCCTCCAGTCCCGACCCGACGACGGTCTTTGTGGACACGAGGGCGCTGCGCAATGACCGCGTGACGCTGGTGGAACGCGGCGCACCGCACAGCATCTGCCTGATGGAGTCGGGCAAGCTGCTGCCCGGCACGAGGGTCATCATTGCCAATCCGGACACCAAGGGCCACTGTGGCGACTCCAATCTGGGAGAGGTAAGTTAATTGTTTACAAAGTTTATTTTCAGTAAAAGCTAACCGTTTGTTGAATTGCATTATCTCTTTAGATTTGGGTACAGTCTCCGCACAACTCCAGTGGCTTCTTTGCCGTCTTTGGGGACGATAATCTGCACAATGAGCACTTTAATGCTCGCCTCAGCACGGGAGACACCTCGCAGACCTATGCCCGTACTGGCTACCTCGGCTTTCTGCGCCGAACCGAGTCTGTTCAGGCGGATGGAGGTTAGTGGATGGTGGTGATTTGGGATAAACTAAAAACTAACAACTTCCTGCCCTCATTTTTTTTGCACAGAACTGCACGACGCCATCTTTGTAGTGGGCTCCCTCGACGAAACCATTATGCTGCGTGGCCTGCGCTACCATCCAATTGACATTGAGAACAGCGTCATGCGATCGCACAAGAAAATTTCCGAATGGTAATTTTGAGTTTGGTTTTGAGATAAATCTTTTTTATCAATTCTTTTCTTTCTCCTTTAGTGCCGTTTTCACCTGGTCAAACCTGCTCGTCGTCGTGGTGGAGCTGGACGGCAATGAGAATGAAGCCCTTGACCTGGTGCCCATGGTGACGAATGTCGTCCTGGAGGAGCACCACATCATCGTCGGCGTGGTGGTGGTGGTCGACCCGGGCGTCGTGCCCATCAACTCTCGGGGCGAGAAGCAACGAATGCATCTAAGGGACGGCTTCCTCGCAGATCAGCTTGATCCCATCTATGTAGCTTACAATATGTGATTGACTTTCCACTCAACTCTCTCTCCTCCTCATGAGGAGGGAAAAAGTCCTTCTGGTCCAGCTGACAGTTTTCGTTCACTCTCTACTTTCTGACTCACTTTTTTTACTCTCTTTCCTTCTTGTCTACTTTTGCTGTTTTGCTCTACTACTCTTCGCTCTTTCTCTTTTTCAATCCGTAAGGCAACAATTAGCACTTTCGACATTCCACCACCTTCGCTAGCAGTTCAACTGATGATTCTACACCACACACATTGTACATTAGATACCACCAACAACGAAAAAAGACTAATAAAAACTGCATGTGTTAACACCAACAACTAAAAGCCATGTTTACAATAATTCATAAATGAGCACCTGCTTGCCGATGGCTATTGGCTAAGGCTTGCTCGACTTGGCGCCCTTGCTCTTGCTCTTCTTCTTTCCACCAGCACCGGCGGACTTTTTGCCCGCAGTTCCGGAGCTCTTCTTCCGCCCCGCGGACTTCTTGCTCTTCTTTGACTTCTTCAGCTTCGAGGAGCTCTTCTTCTTGGCCTTCTTCGCCGACTTGGCCGAGGAGGCCTTCCGCGAGAGTGAGACCTTGCCGCCGAGTGGTGACGTCGTGCCGGCAGCGGCCCCCTTCTTCGCCCCCTTGGACTTTGACTTCTTCAAGACGGTGGGCTTGCTCTTGCTGCCCTTGTTCTTGCCCACCTTGACCGTCTTTGCCAGTGAGAGCTGTTTGCCGCCCCTGCCCTTGCTGGTCACCGAAACGAACTTTCGCATCGTCGGCGCAGGGCCCCCTCTTTTGCTCTGGCCGCCGGTGCTGTCTCCGTTGACGGCCATTCCTCCAACTTTATTCTGCTGCTGTCCATCCATTCCGCCCTCTCCGCCATCAGCTTCCTCGCCCTGCATCCCTCCATTCTCCTTGCCAGCATCAGCGGGGCCTCCTGCATTCGGGTCCTGCTCCTCATCGTCATCGTCCTCAAACTTGGCATCGTCCGTCACTGGAAAGGCCTTCCCGCCAGGAAAGAGGTCCTTCTCTCCGTCGGCGCCTTTGCCCCCGTCGACGCCCTCTTTGCCGCCGACGTCTTTGCCTTCTCCCTTTCCTTCCTGATCGCCCTCTTCATTCTCGGCATCGTCGCCGGTGAAGGCCTCTGCGAAATGTTGGGTTGAGAAAGATCAAATCAGTTATGAAAAAGTTGATGATACAAATGTGCAACTTACTTGTAAAACCACAGCCCATTTTCTATAGTTAAAGATGAGTAAGCTTAGAGATGATAATCAAAAAAGAGCGAAAGCAGAGTGAAAACTGAAAACGCATGTTTTCTACTTAAATATTTGTTTTTGCTCATTGAACTTAAAAGTTCCAATTTGTTAATAATCAAAATGAGTAATCAAATGTTTTTAAATCAGGTCCTCCTCCTCCCCTCTCTTACAAGTGCACATCCTGGGCGGCCTTCTCCTTGGCCAGCGCCTTCAGCAGCACAAGCTCTTCTTTGAGGGCAATGGAGGCAAAGTCCTGGTACTGCTCCAGATCGGGCGGCAGCAGTCGACGCTGCTTCTCGCCAATCACCAGCTGCAGGGCCTTCTCCAGGCGGTAGGCAAAGCGGAATCCGGTGAGGATCTTCCAGAAGTCATCATCCTCCTCTGCACTACTACTACCACCTTTTTTGTCCATCCCCGGCGGCACACTCTTCTCCTTCTCTTTTTTCTTCTTCTTCAGGCAGCCTCCAAAGACGCAGTCAGCCCAAAAGAGCAGATGCTCAATGTTCACGTCAAAGACGTCAGAGAAGGGGATGCCGCCACAGTTGATGAGTTCCCCATTGCCCAGTCCTGCCTTGCCCAGCGCCAACAGCTTTGGCCCATCAAGAGGAAGCAGCTTATCAACGAGGCGTCCGTAGAAGAGAACCAACTCTTCAAAGTTGCCTTCCCGATGCAGCACCTTGCAGACTGCGTAAATGTCCTCGAGAAGGAGGAGGCTCTTTCGGTAGAGGCTGGTAGCGACCACCTCCAGCGCGTAGATCATCTTCTGAAGGTAGTGCTGGCGCTTCGCCTCGTCACCGGCCACTCCATCGATGAGTCGAGCAATGAGGTGCAGCGCCTCTCTTGCCCCCTTCACCTTCTTCGCCTGCTCTCGGGCGGCGGGCAGTGGGCGGGCGCAGAGCAGGCACTGACCGGTGCCGGTGACAGCAATGACGTCCTCATCCTCGCTGAAGTTGAAACACATTCCACCACCTCCTCTTCCTGCCTCGTCCTCGTCGCAGGGCAGCAGCACCGGTCCGGGACAGTGTGAGCACTGCAGTGGCAGGTGCTCGACATCGGTGCTCTGTGCCAGCAGCTCCAGACAGCGGCCACAGCTGCAGGTGAAGTGGTACTGCGCCTGCAGACGGCGACGAACGTCGGCAAAAGAGGCGAGCAGGTGGGGCGGCAGATGGGCCAGGTAGTTGATGGTCAGCTCAGTGCCGGCGGCCACTCGCTTGCTGGTGCTGATCTTCACCTTCATCATCTGTCTGCCTTCACCCTCCTCACTCTCATCATCGGCAAAAAGGGGCGTCCACTCTGCATTGGGCAGACATGAGTGGTTGAGCATTGCCGAGTGCAGTCCGCAGAGCACAGTGCCCACCAGCACGCCCTTTTCCCCTCGCTCCGGGTCAACTTCAGTCCAGGTGAGGGCATTCGCCGACACTCGGCGGGCGTTGAGGAATGCCAACTGAACGAGGGCCGCCAGCTGGTCATTGCTAACTTGCTTGTACTCTGCGTAAAAGATTAACATTATTAAAATCTTAGCCATTGTGATTTTAGCATTACCATATCCGCTGGCAATCAAGAAGATCATGGCGGTCTGAAGGGCGCAGACCACCTCTGGTGAAGCCTCAATTCGGTCGAGCTGCTGTTGTTGCTGCTGTGGACTGCTGTGCTGCAGCAAATTCAGCTCTTCCATTTCCTCACCTCCACCTTTGGTCAAAAGGGCTTCAGCCCCAGCACGCACAAACTGCCGGTAAACATGCAGGGTTTTCAGTCCACCGGAAAGGTCCTTCTTCTTCAGTTTCTTCTGTCCACCACCACCACTCATCAGACCGGTGAGCAGCTTCAGCAGACCACACTCGATGCGGTGGCCGCCACCAGCTGCACTGTGCTTACTTTCGCACTGGTCACTGCAGTAGACGACAGAGAGGCAGTCGCTGCAGGGGAGGAAGGTTCGGCCCACTGGGCGACTGCAGTGGGCACACTTGCGCAGGCGTTGGCTGGGCTGAAGAGCCAACGAGTAGACCTGCTCCACGAGGACGGTAGCACCAGAGGGCAGGTCTTCGGTGGCGATCAGCGATCGACCTCGAAACGAATCCGCCTCCTCCTTTTTTAGCTGGCATCGATTGTGCTTTTTCTGGATTTTCAGATCAGCTGTAGGTGCTGCAGTAGCAGCAACATCCTTGCTACTGTCTACTTCCGCCTCAAGTTTGCCCAGCAAAGTCGCCCACTGGCGCTTCATCTCCGACGAGATCACCTGTTGCTGCTGTTCATCAGCAGTGCTTTGACCTGGCTGCTCAACCAAGCTCATCTGATTGGCGTACTTTGCCACTTTGCTGTGTCCTTCAAGTGCCAACAGCAGGCGGACCTTCTTCAGGACAGTTAGCATTTGCGTGGGCTTCACCAGACGCAACGATCGCTTCAGATTGACCAAAGCCGCCTCCAGCTGGCCGGCATGCTCGAGGACGTCGGCGCGGAAAGCGTACATCGCCGCTAGAGTGTCCACCTGATCAGAGGGACAGTAGAGTACTGCCTGGTCCGCCAGGTCGAGAATGGCCTTCAACTCTTCAGCATTCCTCTTGCACATCCTCTTCTTCTGGCTCTTCTCACCGACTTCATTCACTGCGCCAGTATCATCAGCAACACTATCTTCAGCATTGCTGTCGAGCAGCTTCTGCAGGCGAAATTTGCCCTCCGCCAGGGCCACCTCTGCCTGGACGGCGTTCTTTGCGTCAGTGTCCAATCGAGCCTGTTCCACGCCCACTCGAATGTCGTCCCAGACTTTGGAGAGCGGGCAGACGCGACGGTCAATGAGCTCGAGGACGGCGGAAGTATCGGCAAGGTCGAGTAGACGGGAGTTTGCTGGCTGGTCGTCCACCGTCAACAGTTCGCCCGGTCGCAGTGAGTAGTTGGACTGCACCTCGTACAGATTTAGCAGCTTGTTCAGTATCTTCTGACGAAGGTGGGAGTTCATGGTTGAGGGTTGCTGACGCAAGAACAACTGAATTTGGCAAAAACTGAATCGTGGTTTAGAACTGTGCCAAAGTGTGGCGAGCGCATTTTAAATAGGTGCAACAAGTAGAGTGGAAAGAGGGTATTCGATTTGACTTTCTTTTGTTGTTTAATCTCACTTTTGTTCCAAATAGGAAATAGTAGGAGTGTGTTTCAGTTGCCCTTATCGAGTGAGTCCACCTTCTGCTGGACGATGACGTCCACCTCGCGGCACTTCTCTCTGATGTAATGGGCCAGATTGGCGGCTACGTCGACGAGCAGATCGGCGCTGACGCCTTTCAGGCTGTCCTTGCTGTGGTGGAACCGCTTCTGAAAGTGTCGATCCTTGAGGCGATCCTTGGTCGTCTGGCCGGCCGCCTGCACCGCCTTCACCAGCGCTCGTCGGTGCTCGGTGGTGACCGCCTTTGGCAGTGGAATGTAGATCAGCGGATCAGCGGAGGACGTTTGCGGATTGAGGTTCAGGCCTGAGCTGTGCAGGGCACGCAGCACCGGCTTCACCGCCGAGGGCATTGAGGCGAGGTTGACCACCAGCTCTGAGCGGCTCCAGCTGATGGTAGCAATGTCGGCCAGTGCCACCGGCTGGGGAGAACCCGTGTCGGTGAGGGTCACCGCCAGTGACTCGATCTGGCGTGGATTCAGACGAACGTTGTACTGCTCGCGAAGGTCAACCTTTAGCTTGGCGATCAGCGTCTCAACGGCCTCCTGAAGCGCCTCAAAGGCTAGCACGCGTTCCATTTCATCGTCATCGAGGATCACCTTTGGCCGATCAGACTGTGAACTGCTGTTTTTCTTTGTCTTCTTCTTCTCTTTTACTCGTTCACCACCGCCTCGTGAGCTGCTGCTGAACGGATGGAAAAGGAGGCAAAGAGGAAAAGTTGTTGATGGTGTGCGCTGGAAAAGACTGCTAAAGATCTCTTGGCGTTGAAGAATGCCAGCATGTTTGGCACTGGACGATAGACAGCTTCTTCTCAGTAAAAGGGGAATTGGGCGAAGAGAGGAACAAGGAAAGAGTAGCGAAGAAGCGGTTCGGATGAGAGTGTTCATGGTTGAGAGAGAGTGCTTCAGTGTGATGATTTTGTGTTGTGTACGGCCTGTTGATGAGATCAGCTGATAATTCTCAGACACTGCATCCACTCTCTAGCGAAAGGTGTCGCTGCGTGAAAAGAAAATCGCGGCACAAAAAACTCCAACTTTGATCAGCAGTTTGAGAATGTTTTTTTCTAATGTCTTCCAAGCAGAAACATGAAAATGAAACAAAAATAGAGGGTAAGAAGACGAATTGTCAACAATGCTGGCCGACTGAAGAAAGTGGACGTTCAGTGGTGGCGAATGATTGCAATTGCTAGGCAGCAGCTATTTGCTGAATTGCGCCTTGCCCATGGCCAGAATGCCGACGATGGCGACGATGCCGACGATGACCACCAGGGACATCATGCTGTCACCCTCGGAGGAGGAGCTGCCACCACTGCAGTGAGGCTCGTGGCCAAAGGCAGAAGCCACCACAGGAGGGGCTGAATTGGAGGACCCAGAAGATGCCGACTTGGGTCCGCTCGAAGCGGGAGAGTGACTGCCATCGGCGCCACCGCTGCCACTGCCACTGCTGGTGACGGACTTCTTCGCCGAGCGACGTCCTGCCTTGCGACTGCCGTGAGCACCGCCACCACCACCAGCACTACCTCCACTACCACCACCACTTCCACTATCGGACTTTTCTTTGGCCGCCGGCTTGACAATCAGCAGGCCGCTGCCTGGAGAGGGCCCTGGGGGAGTTCGCGAGGCGGACGAGGGAGGCGGTGCTGCTATGATCGAGGAGCCCTTCGGTTTGGGAACGGGAGAAGGAAGTCCGCCGCCTCCGCCAGCTGACTTTGGTGAAGGCAGCGGGGAAGAGGTGGCAGAGGTGGACGGAGTAGAAGCTGGTGGCTGCGAGGAAGGAGGGGGCAGCGGCGCCGACGATGGTCCCTGGTGGTGCTGCTGTCCTGGTGGCGGCAGCGGCGGGTGAGTTTTGCCCTCGGTCGATGCAGGCTTAGGGGCATTGGGCGGTGGCAGACTGGCGCCTCCTCCGCGAGCCCCTCCACCACCAGGGACTGAGGGCGGAAAGAGGTCCACTTTGTGGGCACCACCACCCCCTCCAGCACCTCCTCCTGAGGGCGGTGGCAAGGGCGGCAGCGGTGTTGTGTCCTTGGGGGGCTGCGGAGACGGCGGCAAAACTGCTTTTGGTTCACCTCCACCACCGCCACCACGATCAGCCGCCAGCGAAGTGCCCGACTTGGTGGGCGCAGGCAGCGGGGCGGACATCGACTTGGGCGCCGGACCGGGGAGAAAGCTGCCCCGAGAGATGGGCTTGTTGTCCTTGCTGGCGGCCGACCGGGGTGCAGGAAGGCCTGACGACTTACCAGAGGTCGACTTTGACTTCTCAGAAGGAGGTGGTGGAGGTGGGTCCATGTTGACGACGGCGAGATGCTCACCTTACTAGCGTAGATTAGTGGCAGAACTTGCGAAAGCCTAGAAATGAAAGAATGGTGCCTTCTTTCAGCAGAGCAGTTTGAGCGACGGAAGAATTTGCTTTGTTTGTGAAAGCGAAAATGCGATACAGTGACGAAGCTTTACTTGGAAAATGCTCACAAAACGATAAAAAAAACTTTCTAAAAAGCATTTTTGTCAGCACTGATAATTCGAATTTAAATACAATTATTTCGAATTTAAACATACCGGAACGTATGATGATCATAAGAGTTATTAGTGTTTGTAATAAAGTATTCAATGTTTTGCAAGCCAATGAATTTTCGTGGTTGATTTGATTGGTTACAAAAAGTTTAGATTTTGTGTAGTTATGCTAGTATCTGGTTATTCATTTTATCAAGCAACTAGTACTAAATATTTGGTTTAGTGACTAGCAGGTTGTTGGTGAGGTACTATGCATACCAGCTTACTTGCGAGAAGTTGACTTTGTTTAAGATGAAATTCTGTTGAAATGCAGCTGAAGGGTTTTCTGTTGTTCGGTTGCCATCTGACGCACTAGCTGCTGCTCCACATTGAGGTGATCAAACACTTGGCCCATCATATTCAGTGACTGCAATTTTGGGAACTGAACGCCCATCACTCGAACAAAGAGCGAAACATCTACTCCGTTGACTGCATTGCGGCCAACTTTTCCCCCTTTCTTTCGAAAGTTTTTCAAGATGGGCAAGTAGCTAATCAAGTTTAAGGTGGTCACTTCGGGCAGAACATCTTCTGCTGATTTGACGTCAGCTAGGTCAAAATTGACCAGCGTCAGCTGCTTTAGTGAGTCCATCCCCTTGAGCAGTTTAAAATAGTCAGAACCAAAAACCTAGAGTTTAAAAAGCATTTTTAGTATTTAGTTAAAAAATCAAAACATTTCAACAAAACCTCGCTAGATCGGTGGGTGTTACACAGTTTCAGAGAGGTGACCGTTGTGCAAAATTTCAGAATCTCTACACAATGGATACCATAAAAACTGATTGCCAGTGAGGTGAGGTGACTGAGGACTTCCTTGCTTCCATTGCTCAAAGTTGAAGATTCAATAGAATTGAAAACTGTGATTTTCAACTTGAGCGAGCGCAACTTCTCTGCCCCCGAGCAGAGCAGCGTATTTAGAGACTGATTTTTTACTTCGTAGTTCAGACCGAGGTGCTCTAGCTGGGGCGCCAGCTCATTAAGTGGGTTGCCCTTAAAGCCAAAAGATCGGCCGATTAAGTTAAGATCAAGCGTTTTCAGACGGCCGTTTTGACGATTGATGGCAATGCTCTCTAATAGTTTGGAAGAGAACCGCCCGTGAGAACCGGGATCGATGCTAACTGTTAGAAAAAAGTGCTCCAGATCTGGGAAAAACGTTTCCAAGTTGATCAGCGCTAAAAAGAGATAAAAAGAAAAAGCATAAAAATAACAATTTGATAAAAAAGGTTTTTAAGTAAAGAAAAGCTTACACGTTATCGTTTCTTTGTTAATTTGTGAAAAAGAGCTTTTAAAGGCAAATCTAAAGTCTTTGTGCTTATCAATGATAGCCAGCGATAGCATTGTCTGCTTCATCGTACAGGGCTGGTCAGCACCACCAGCAAAAAGGAGACCTTTGATGAATGCGATGAAAGCTGGCACTTGTTTGCAGTCGACCGTAACCAGTGGGCCCTTCAATTCGTAGGCGGCAAGTACCTTTTTGTCCAACTCACACAAACGGGTAAAGTCGGCGGCGACGTCGTTGACGTGCATGAACTTTTCGGCCGTATCTTCTTTCTCTAAAAAACGTACCAAACACTGAAAGTCTTCATCTTTATTGTACATTTCTGGTTCTTCTAAAGTCACCTCAATGGTGAGTTTTTTGGTGGTGCGCAAGTACCAATCGACTGCTTCTCGCCAAGCAATGTTTACTTCTCGCAAGATCAGAAAATCTTTGGTGATTTTGCCGCCGCATTTGTGAACCATCGTTTTCACCAGTATGTTTAGGACATCAGGATTGTCTTTGTTGAAATCATTGCTGTTCTCGAAAACATTCATTTTCTGGAACTCATCGTCAGTGTCATCCATCAGTTTTTCCTTTTTAGCTGAAGATGCCATCTCCTCTTGGTTAGAGCTTCGTTTTGTTGACATAATGAGTTTTGTGATTTGATCTGTTAAATGTAACGCAAAGCACATTAGAGTAAAGCAAAAATCATTAGTCAATCAGTTTTTTAACTCCTACTCACCTCTAACCACAGGAGCTCGTACTTTGAGACAACACGTTAGCGATGGCACCGAGTCAATAAATTCGTATGTTTACCAAAAAAAACTGTTGATCGGAACAAGCTTTGCTCTGTTTTGCTGCTGGTGTGCGCAATGGTCTGACGTTTTTCCAATTATAAGAGAGATGACATTTACTCTTGCTGAGCTTGTGAGTGGGGAGAGCTACCAAGCATCGGTTCCGAGTAACAACATTCGCCTGTCTCTTCAACCTCACTCACTAGTCTCTTCTTTCTCGTCTGCTGCATAGGCAAACGATCACTGCCGCCGCACCTAAACAACCGAAAAAGCAAACCAACTGTAACATTTTTTGTTTGTTTGTTTTTGGCAATAATTACTAAACTGTACGACTAATGTGAGTGTACACTGAAAGAAAAACACAAGATTTAATGAACAGCTAATAAAATCAACAGGAAGAACAGTTTTGTTAAAATTTTGCTTTTATTTGAACATATGAAATTGTAATTAAAGTTTTTTAGAAAGAGGAAGGGAAACAATTCAGCAGAAACTCCTGTGAGAGGAGTTGAAAATCACTAGTTATTTAACAGTGGTAGATCGAGGGAAAAGTGTTTGATAATTCACTGAGTCACAGATGATTCGGTCACAGGAAACACCCGAAGGAAGCAGGGAAAAAGTGGCACAAAGGCATTCAAGAGTAGTTGAGAAGCTTGGATCTGAGTCTTTTCTATACTCTTTATATCGAAGGTATTCTGCGAGATCGACACCACAACTACCGCAGTTGTAGTCCCAAAGATGGATGGCCTGCAATCGGGGCAATGTCACTGACAAGTTCAACAACTGCAACTGCGAGTGAGAGCGGAGGTCCAGCGACAAATCAAGCGCTCGTACAGATGGTAACTGAGTGGGCGGCATTGGCTTCTCTTCAGATTGATTCTCCTCCTCAAGTCCCCAGCATAGTTCCAGCTTCAAGTGAACCAGAAGTTGTGGAAGATGAGAAAGAGCGGAAAAAAGTTTTTCTGCCTCTAAAAACCTTACAAGGCACACTGACAAACTAGTGAGCGAAGGAAACCGAGAGCAGAAACTAGGCACGTTGTCTTTAGCAAATGAGAAAATATGATTGCCGTAAAGCTGCCTCCATTTAAGTTATAACTGTTTGATTGATTGCTTTATTATAGAGATGATAAATAAAGTATGTCAAGAAAAGTGACTGATAAGTTTAAAAAAGTATCACAAAAGAATGTCTCCTCAGTTGCCACCACTACCACCACCACTCTTCTGCAGCTGAATCTTCCTCAGCAACGACAAGCCTGGAATGCTGGCCACCAGAGAGGGACTCCTCGCCGCCAGCGAGCTGATCTCATTCTCAAAGTCCTCCAACGAGCGAACTCGAAACGGCTTTGTCGTTCCTTCAAAAGAGGTGATCGTTTGCATTAAGTTCTTGTAGTCGCCAAAGTAGCGAATGCGGTAGATGCCCGCCTCCGTCTCTGGAGGAATGTCCCAGACGATGGTCACCTCGCTGGTGCCCAGCAGGGTTCGGTTTCGGCTCCAGATGAACCTGCGAACAGAAAAAAAGGTAGTTGCTGTAAAAAAACGAGAAAAAAGTGTAGCGTAAGCTCCTACATTGTCTCCCAGTTGGCGTCGGTGGCGGCCAGCTGCCAGGAGGAGCCATTAGAGGCCAGTCGCTCCACCTTTAGAAAGGTCTCCTCGAGGCGCATGTTATTGCGCGGATTGGCGCCCACAAAGCGCACCTTGACGCGCGAGCCAGCGTAGTAGTGCTCCAGCGGCTCAGTGAGCACCGCCCCAAAGGCGAGTCCGCCCAGGGGCATGTCAAAGAGGACCGGCGGCTTCAGGGTGAGCTGCGAGGAGAGGAGGTTGGGAAAAGCAGGGCCAAAAGGCACCGACTGGTGGGCGACGAGGCGGTCGGCCAGGCGGCGGAACTGCTCGCGGTACGCCTAGGTAACGAGAAAAAAAGGAAAAAGACGGGATTATTTTTTGCTTTTAAAAAAAGACATTTCTTACATCGAGCGTATGCGGTCCAAAGAGCGTGGAGCCTCCCTCGTACCGCTGCAGCTGGTACTCCTCAAAGGTGGTCACGTAGTTAGAGTAGGTGTTTGCCAGGCCGGCCAGAATGACGTGCACCTTCCGTCCTTTGGAGGCGTACACCTCGGTAATGTCCTCGCGAATGCGCCGACCCGACATGGTGGTGAACTCGGCGGGCAGTCCCACGAGGATAATGTCGCCCACCTCAAAGAGCTGCGTTGGCATCACCTCGGGGCCCCAGTCGTAGGGGCGGCGCATCTCGCCCAGCGGAATCAGCGTCGACTTGGGCATCTGACAGTCGAGCAGCTTCTGCGAGGGATTCGTCAGCAGATTCCGCAGCAAGTCCCAGAGAGGGTTCGCATCGCCGTGGGTGGTGCCCTGCTGGAACTGCTGGAATGATTAGAAATGTCTACTATTTTCTCTGCCGAATCACTCACAAATGAGGCGCCCTCGCCATCGGTGGTGCCCGCCGCAAAGGACATGCCCAACGCCGCCGGACATGTGGTCACCTTGGTGCCGTTGGCCAGCGTCACCACTCGATCCGTCATGTTGATGTTCTCGTAGATTAGCCTGACGTCGCCCTTGACCAGCTGGCCAGAAGTCGACTCAAAGAGCTCCTTCGCCTTCTGGTACTGCAGCTGGCCGATGATCTTGGTGCTCTCAAACATGTCCCGGCCAGGGCCAAAGGCGATGCACATCTCGTTCTGTTTGAAGGAACACACAACCCAAATGTAAACAAAGCCACCTGATTTCTGTTTTCACCGAATTTACCTTTCCATTGCAGGTGCTGTGAACAAAGTCACAGGGCTCGCCGGTGTCAAGACAGCGAGCGCCCTTGGTGTTCGGAGAGCTGTCGCCCTCGTTGGCCTGCCCAAAGATGGCCACAAACGGTCCTCGACCGACGCCAAGGTGACCGTTGTAGTCTTCCTCAAAACGCAAAGCAGCGTAACCTTTATTATCGCCGCTAATCAGCTTGTTGGTGTTGTTCATGCTTGTGCCGTGCACGGCAAACCAGGAAGCCATTCCCAGCGGCTTTCCGCTGCTGTCGACAAACCTCAAGGTCTGCATCGTCTTGTCAGTGTCGTGCTTGTATCTGCGAACAGTTGCAAATTGCAACAGGAGAAAGAGAGAAAAACACAGTTGGTTTGAGCAGTTTTGTAAACAAACACTTCTCATCTTGGTCAACTTCAAATGCTTACTTTGCTCGTTCGCTTTCCGGATTTTGCAGATACGCCGCTGGGCTGCGATTGATGGACGCCCCTTGAAGATTGCCCTCCTGGTAGAAGATGCTGCCCGCTGTCAGGCCGTCGGTCGCCTGTTTGATGGACTGTGGTTGAAGAGAAGAAGAATGGTGTCATTCAAAGCGTGAACCTTTCAAAACTCAACTCATCATCCGCTTACTTTGGTGATTCCCTCTACGATCGCACTAGTGCTCTCCTTGATGTAGCCCTCCTGCGTGATGATGTACAGCAGATACTGAAAGTACCCGCCGGGACCGCTGTGGGTGTGTGTGGAGCTGATCATGATGTTCTCGTGGCCGTAGACGCCCGGGCCGTAGATCGCCTCCAGCTTCTCAATGACGAGCATCTTCACTATCTGCGTAGAGGCGGCCAGGTCGACGTTGACGTAGCACACACGCCCACCAGTCTCCGACACAATGACTAGTGCCCGAGAGTAGAGACGAGTGTGGATGCCCCGCGTGTCCTGGCCCAGTTTGGCGTAGCCCATCTGGTGAAGATAGAAGGAAAAGAAGATAATGAAAAGAGTGAAAACAAAGGCAACCACCTCGCCTACCATATTAATATCCGCCGCCGGTCCGGTGATGTCGGCGATGCCAAGGCCAATCTTGTAAGTAGAACTGTTCTTTGTTTCATTTTCCGTTTGTTTTTCGCTATCACTCGCCCTCTTGTTCACTTGCGGTTGATGTTGGTGTTGGCGGTCATTGCCATTATCACCAGCTGATTTGCTTCTAGCCCAGTAGGCGTGCAGGCTATTGACTTTTGAGTTGGTAGCTGCAGTTACGTAAGATTGCTGCTGCTGCATAAGAAGTAGTGGTAAGGCGAGGCTGAGAAGGCCGATGATAAGTGCGCGTATGTAGGCCATGATAACTGATGCTGCTGCTGTTGCTGCTTCAGTCCGATGATGGCATTCTCTGCCAATAAATACTCTCTCTCCCTTTCTGGCTTGTTTCGGATGATTGGGATGCACCAACTTTAAATGGAAAAACGGACTGCTGAAAAAGTGAGAGGGAATGTCAGATCGAAATAGATTAGTACTTGTGTAACTGCTGTTCGGCTGCTGTTGTTATGTTTCCAGGACGCAGTCACAGTCTGGCGAGAATGTTAGAATGAACAGTATGTGTGTGTGCCTTCTTGTGCATCACAGAGCTATGGGTAATTACTAATAAATAAACATACATATTTATAGTTTTTTAATTTCAATCAACGCTATCTCGCACGCGTATTCGTCACCCGGCGACACTCACTTTCTTGCTTTTCTCCCCTCCTCTACATAAAATCTCTTCAAATAGATCATCATCAGCTTCTGCTGTTTTGCAGCGGCGTCAGTGGCGCACTTTCACGGCCAAGTTGTGCTGGTAGTGATAGTACTGTACGCTGTCGACAGTAATTTGTCAGTGAGGCTAGTGTTAAATTGTTTGCATTGCACCTGCACATGAGAGTGTGTGTGTGTGTGTTATATGACTGCTTTCCTGGTCACTCGGTGTGTTCACTAGACGACACTGCTGCTGCCGCAATTGCAATGACAAGATTGAAAGTGCAGTGAAAGTGACAAGAAGTGGTAGGGAGAAGGACAAGGTGGAAGGCAAGGTGGCTCTGTCGAGTCATGCGACGATGATGTGTGCAGTAGCAACCGCAGTATCAGCAATCACCGCCAACAAGTACGGCAGAATGGGCAAATGAATGAATGAATGACTGCTGATGGTGGTGGTGATGGCAGTGATGCTGATCTCACTGCGCACTTTGCCAGTGTTTGCTTTGTTTTTGTATTACAATCACCGCTGACATTGCTTTGCTTTTAATATCTGCTGTTGATGACCGCCAGAATCAGACGTTTAGCCGCTGATTTTGAACCTGCTTCAACAGACGGAGCAATTGAATCAGAAGCAGCAGCAGCACTTGCCACTGTGCATTCAATCTGCCTGATTGTCGTCGGCTGTCAGCGGTGACACCTGCACTGAACATGTGTCGCGGGAAAAAGAAAGAGAGGGAGAGAGGGAGATGCATGCAAATAGAGGTTAACGTCTGCTAGTCAGGCGTACTATCAAGTCGTACTTTAATTAGCATATCGTCTGTGTGGTGACAACACTGCTGCTGCTGCTGCTGCTTCTGTGCGACATGGTCAGAACACAGTCGGCGTACTGTCTGCACTCAAACTCACTCTGTCAGTCTGTGATTGCCAGGTGATAAGGTGCTCTTAGCCAATGCCAAGCGGTGTCTTTGTGTTTTTGTGTTTCTATGTACACTAAGCCACTGTCTAATTCTTTGGCGATAATTTGATTTTAATAAGTATGTCATAGTGCAACTAATTATGAACTGTCCCTCTCTCTTTTCTCTTCTATTATGATCGGCTATCAATCGTCCACCAATGTCTATCTCTCTTTTATATAACTTTATCGCCGGCAAATGCCCTCGAGGAGTGCGGCTGACAAGGATTGCTCAATTTGCTGAGCATTTTCTGCTTCGTTCAGTGCACTTTAGTCGTTTAGCAGTCAACTGCTTCTGCTGCTGCTAAGTAGCTCATCGTTGACATTGACATAATAATATTCAGACACGTCAACCTGCTAATCACGGTGCGCGCACTAGCACTGATCTGTTGTTTACAAAGTTCGATTTTTTGTTTGTCACAACACAGGCACTAAAAAGGCACTAAAAAGGGCAATACGTGTACATCTTTTAGGCAGCTAGCTCACTTTGCAAGTGATACGTTTTAGTGCAGAAAAGCAATCACTGAAAAGATGGAACCAGCAAAGAATGTCACCGATGACGACGACGACGGCTCAAAAGCAAAGCTGGTGGCCAAGCTGTGGATCGCCGGCCTGGCGGCAATGTATGGCGGCTGCGACAAAGGAGAACTTGGCCTGCAGCAGCAAAAGAAGTTACCCTTTGTTTATCCCTTTCCTGGACACTCTGAACTCTCCTCATCATTGACCAGTTCTGCCGACGCTGCCAAACACCAGCTGGCGGACATTGACGAGGCGGTGCGTCTGATTCGTGAACGAACCTTGAAACGAAGCGATGAAGACTCAGCGGCTTTTTCTGCCGCCGCAGCTTCTCTGGAGGAGCTGAGCACGGTGATGCTCGGCCTCTGTCGTCTAGTGGCGGACAATGCCAAGCAGCTGGTGGTCAGCGCAGACAAGGCCGAGGATGAACTGATGAAGACCGAGGAGGACGGCAATGGTGAAGAAGAAGAAGACGGTGAAGAACTGCTGGCACAGAAGAAGCGCAAGTTGGGTGATGATGAAGGCGAGGAAGAAGAAGAGGATGAGGAGGAGGTCGTCACTGCAGCGCCCGTCAAGCGAAAAAAGCTAAAGATTGACAAGCTAACTCAGCAGCCGTCAAAGTGTTGCACTGATGAAGAGGGCGAAGAAGTGGAAGGTGGAACCGAAGAGGAGGAGGAGCAATCACTGCTGGAGAAGAAGGTGCCCGACTTTGGCCTGCCGACGAAGCAGTCGATGGAGCAGAATAGCTGTTGCTGCCTGATGAGAGATGATCTTCCACGAAGTGCCGGCCGATCACTGCCCGCCAAGCTGGCGTATCTCTACGAACGAAAGTGCTGCGGCAGTAGCAGCGACTCGAAGAAGACGGCGAAGACTGCTCGGCGCCGTAGATCAATGACATGTGACAGCGGCGGTGCTGGCAGTGGCAGTGGCAATGACGGTGGCGGGAAACGAGCACGAGTGGAGGAGAGTTCTCCTCCTCCTTCTGCCGAAGCTGCTGCAGCTGGTGATGGCGATGTTGACAAAGTGCATGACAAAGTGCTAGTACATGAGGAGGCCGAAGATAAGCAGAAGAAGGAGCAACAGCAACTTCAACAGCAGCAACAACAGCAATCGCCGCAATCTTCAAATACTTCACCAGCTTATCAGGCTTGCGTAAAGGATCCGCTTAATGAGCAGTCGCTGATTAGCTCATTACCATTTGACTACGACGATGATGGTGAGGAGGAGGAGGAGGAGGAGGAGGAGATGACTCTGAACTTGCTGCTGCAGCTGTACGGTGGTCAGGAGGAGAACAAGAAGAAGAAAAAGAAAAAAGTTGCTGGTGAGCATCAGCAGCAGCCGATGCACTATCTTCCTGTTCGATGGCGACACATGATGACGGGCACATCAACCGGAGATGGGCAGGGGAGACCACCACTGCCACCACCACTGCCACCCTCATCATCTCGTGCTGCCGTTGATAGCAATCATCACCACCAGCAGCAGCCTATGGACGAGAGGGCATCCCTCTTCAGCAACAGCCGGCGCAGCATTCGCACTCGGTGCACCGTTCGAAGTGCTTCCACTGGTGGAGGACAACCACTGCAGCATCATCAGTTTGGCAACGGCTTTGCTGCTGCTGCTGCTGCTAGCCGTGCCACCGCCTCCATCAAGTCGATCATCTACGCTCGAGACCGCCGAGATCCGTCGCAGTTGCCCTGGTGGTGGCAGCCGGTGACGCCGATGATTCCTTCTCCTGCTCCTTCTCAGCCTCTTCGATCATTGCCAGCAGCAGCTATTCGAGCCAGTCATGCCGTCAACCAGCAAACAGGTTCGATTCGAAGCAAGATCTGCAGCAGCAATCGCAGCACCCGCAGCAGCCTCACCAGCAGCGAAGTTCTGCAGCACCGTCTGCTGTCCATTCTCTCCACCCGATCCTGTCGCGGGACGATTCGCGTCTACGAGCTGGAGCAGCTGGTGCGAGCTGCCACTGCCACTTTCACTGACGCTGACCCGACCGGGCCACTGAGCAAACAAGTGGTTGTCGCCCACTTTGTGGCACTGCTGCGCATGAACTCCACTGTTCAGCTGCGACAGAAGGCGGCCGGTGGGCGCCGTCGCCCGGGCCTTCGCCTGGCCGACTTCAGCTCACCCTCCTCTGCTGCCGTCCACAAGATTTACGTCTCACTGGTGGTCAATGAAAAGAGGGAGGAGAAGGAAAAGGAGGCGGTTGTGATGAAACCGCCAAGTGATTCTCTGCCTCTGCCACCACCACCATCCACCGAATCGGCACCTTTCACTGCGTGAGAATATCGATTCCCTTTTCTCTCTCTCTCT